TGCTGAACGGGGCCTTGCTGGAGGGTGGGTATTTACAGGGAAGGGTTTAATCGGCGTAACCTGGTGGTGGTTTATCCGTCTGCATCGTTGATGCTCTGCGTCCTGTGAAATCTGATGCTGGTTTGGGGCGGATGGATGAGATGCTGGCAGATGAAAGAGACGGGCAGCGTGGTGTCACGAGGGGTGGATGGAGGGGGTCACATCCCAGCAGGGAGCCGTGCTTTGGACGTTTGGGCTTTGGCGTTTGAAAAGCATCGTGTTTAGGAACGAAGTTTCCATGGAGGAAACCCCTAAATCTTGGCAAATCATGGGGTAGAGCGTAGTTGGAGGAAAGGAGGAGAGCGTGGTCCGTGCTCGGCCACGCAGAAGGCAGGATGTGACCTCTGATCCTCAGGGATCTGTGTTCACCCCATGGCTGCTTATTTTCCATCGGTGTTTATGTAACCATGGTGGGGGAAGCGTAAGGAATCCTTCCCAAATGGATTTGGGTCTGAGCTGGTTCCCCCTTCATCAGCGGAGCTCCGAATTACCCACACGGGCTCATCGATTCCAGAGCAGAGCCCGTCCCAAACAGCTTCCAGGTTTCCCCCTCCAGGCTCCAAAAAACCTTGAGTTTGCACCAAAAACTTGGGCGCCGTACTTCCAAAGACTTAAAAAGGTGCTCGTGCATTAGGAAAAACAACCACCTACTGACACCTGGGGCTTCTGGCAGCATCTTGAAGTCCTCGAAGCAGCTTCTCGTTAGGTTCTGCTCAGCCTAATCCTATGTTAGATACATCCCTGCAGCCAGAAGCTATCTGTCTTTAATTGAAATTTCAAAGAGCCTGTAATCCCGGCTCTCCGGACTGCTCTTTGGAAACGAGTCTTGAGCGTAACAAACACAAATTAAAATATGAACAAACCCAAACTCTTCTTCCTTGGCATGGCCAACCTTGGATGACGAATAGCTACCAGCCCCGGGGTGGTGGTTGATGCCAACGAGAAGCGTTTTGGAGAGCTCAGCTGGGTTTCTGCTGCCAGTGGCTGGATGCTCCTGCTGACTGTGACTATCGCTCGGCAATATTTAGGTCTCCCGGTGCCCAAAATTCGCTGGCACAAGCCGTTATAGATAGCGCCGCTGTTTTAAAAAGAACAAAAGTAGAGCTATTTTGGAGTTAAGGAGGGTGGAAAGTATCTCGGTGAAGAAAGAGCGCAGCCACCCTTCGGTAACAACTGCTCATCGGAGAAGAGGGGTTACCGCGGTTCTTAACAAGGCAGATCTAATATCCAATGTCCCCGATGTGAAGTTTTAGGAGAGAAAAAAAAAAAAAAAGGGGTCACGACTTGAAATATGATCTTGCTTATCGGTCCGGGTAACGTCACTCATGCGTTTTTTTCAGCATGTGATGTTGGCCCAGGGCTGGGAACATCTCCTGCTCCTTGCCGTGCCCGTCTCCGGTTGCCTTGAAATGCTGATGGGTGTTTGGTGGGAGAAATCGGGTCGGGAATTGACCTTCTAGGTAAAAATGGTTGAATCAGAGCTTCATTCTGGTCTGCTTCAGCGTTGTATTTAAACCTGGATAAGGTTGAGGATGGACACGTGTGACAAGCAGAGGGTGAGCGTGACCTGCACAAGAGGAAATGCTCAAACACCCCCTTAAGTTGTGATTCTAGATTTAAACTCACATGCTCTGTGTTTCCTTACGAGTCGTGTCTTTGGGGGACAATACCAAGAAAATGGGTAAATTCGGAAAGCTTAAAAATCCCTTGTTGTGTAACCAAAGCACTCACAGCGGATCATGTGGAGATAGCGATTGGTGGACGGCTTTTGTATTTAAATCCAAGCCTGAAGTCTCTTAGCTGCTCTCCCAAGCTTGCTGGGAGTCGAAACCCTCCTCGTTTTGCTTCCAGCCCCAAACGACGCTTTTGGGGCTCTCTGGCTTTGTGCTGAAAAGTACCTCGTCGCAACCCATTCGAAGAACGAAGCGGTGCCCCGTCGGCGTTGCGATATTTATTTAACTCTTGCTCTGGGTACGGCCGTGGGGAAACAGCTGAGCAAACGGTGAAGTGGGTTTGGAGATGCCGAATCTGTCGCCGGGAGGATTTTAGATGGTTTGTTTGTTGTTTTGTTGGGGTTTTTTTAAGCCCACTTGTCCCCGTGTCTCTTCAAATCACTCGTGAGACATGTGAGAGCTCCAGCGAGCTGCCCGCTTCTTGCCGTGGGTCCCTGTGGCCGTGCTAATGCCTCGACCGCCGCTCCCAGGCTGGAGCGAGGAGCTGCCGTAAGGGCACCTGCTCAGCGTTAATGCCCTCTGCTCGTGTTTTATGCTGATTCCATAATTTATTGAGGGTTTTAAGCCACGTTAATGAGCCACAGCCCGTGGGCAAGTGTTAACGGCAGGAGGATCTCGTGAAAAGTCACCATCGGAGCCGGTGGCATCTCTGCCAGTGGCTGCCGTGGCGCGGTGCTGTGGGAGCAGCGATGCTGCTCGTGCCCCGGGATGATGTCGCAGCTCGGCGTCTGCAGGCGGCTCTCCCCGAACCGCTTCCTGCTTCCTTCCTCTCCGCTTCCAGACGCGTGAGCTGCCAGAAGGTCTCTGCCGGCGTTGCGAGACGCCTCTCGAGCTGTTAAGAGCCGAGAATATCGGTAGACCCTTAACCGAAACCCTTCGTCGCGGCGGGCAGGCAGCTTGAGCGCTCAGGCGGGGAGAAATCCTCTTTTGGGGGAGAATTTTGCGAACCGTTTTCGGCGCCGCCTGCGGTTCGTGGTTTCTAACGAGGCTGCAGCAGGAAACGAAGGCGGAGGATTTGGCTCCGGGTGTCGGGGAGATTGGTACGATGAATATGGCGGGGCTCTCCGTTCTTGGGCTTGTAATCAAATCACTGCAAGACCTGAGCGTCTCGGTCCTCGTGGGGTGAAGTTTTCCTTCCCGGAGCTGGTCGCAGGCGGGACACGGCGAAGAAACGAAGGGCGGCGTTGGGAAAGGGCTCTGGGCTTAACACGCCACCGATGAGCAGAGCGGGAGAGCTGGGTTGGCTTTTGCCAGTCTCCTACCGTTGGCTGCTTGTTTGAAAACAAACAAACAAACAAAAAACCAAACCCAAACCCACCCTCTTTAAGCAAAACTAAAAGTCAAAGGGAGGAAGTAGGTGTTTGGGTCTGCGGTGAGAACTTGAACTTGGCCGCGCTGGTTGTTTAGATGGGAGCGTGTGTGGCAAAAACAGGATGTTCTGAGATACCGAGGAGGATCTCGGAGGTTACCTCTTCCCTCCTGCTGCTTCCAGGAGAGTCCACGGTACCTAAACCAACCCGCGCTTGGCTGCTCCGGGCTCTGATGGAGATTCCACCACGGCCCTCGCTGCTGTCACTACCCCTCACCTTTAGAAAACCCGTAAGATCTTTGGTATTTTTAATATCTAAATCCATTACTGTTCATTTTACCCCAAATAAGCAGTGACAATGGTTTCTGCTTTTCTGTAGATCCAAATCTTTCAATCTGCCCTTTTTGGTCCAGATTTCAGACCCCCTCGATCGTTGGCGAGTCCCTCTCCGGTACGTCTGAACCCTCCCTGAAATGCCGCGCTTGATGCCGGACACGTCCTCGCTGCGGAGAGCAGGAGGGTTATCTCTGCTCCTGCCCACCCCAGGATGGGCTGTGATGGGGGGGAGTTGCAAAGTTCACTCTGATTTGGGTTCGAACAGCTTAAAAGTCTGAAAACTATTTTTGTTCCCACCCTTTTCTGCGAGCCCGCTGGCTCCCAAGCTGTCCCCAGCCGCCTTTAATGGAGTTGGTGGCTTCTCCAGGGAGGTCCCTGGGCTCAGCGGTGGCTTTCCCCGCGTGTTGTGACGGGCGAAGGTGTGTCCCGTTGCCGCAGACGCCTCCTTCAAGCTCAGCTTGGCTCATTACGGAGGCTGTTTGTGTATCTCCTGGCTCCGAACCTACTGGCAGCCACCACAGAGAACACGTGGCGCTTCTTGGCAGGCGTTGGGAAGTGTTAGGCGATTGCGTCCTCTCCAAAACGGCAGGCAGCTCTCCTTCCTCGCAGCCTGCCCTCACCTTGCTCTGCCCCCCGGACTGCTTTCGCAGGCTTCGCACCATCATCCTCCATTCTTCTCCCCTTTTTTTTCCTCCAGTTTTAACCCCCCCACCCCGGTCTCCCTCAATGTCCCAAACCGTAAGGTCTTCTGCTAGACTTGGATTTCTCCTCTCCATCTGTTCCCGTGCAGCGATAGTGATGTTTCACCATGTGTAGGAATAGCAGCAAATGCGCATTTGCTGGTTGACCTTCCACCCCACGCAGAGTCTTACCTTCTAGAGTGCATCCAATGTCGCGTGGGTTTTTAGGAGGAGGAGGAGAGGGGGTTGGTTGAATGACAAGAGTTTAGGGAATGATTCTCCCAACTCCTCCCTCTGGTGTTTGCTCATGTTGAGCCCCCAGATGAGGACTCAGAAGTGGGGCTTGCCCCTTCCGTGCTCAAGATCCTGCCTTGGCTGAAGAGTGCCTTCCACCTCTCTAAAGCATAGTTTTCAGAAACACTTGTAGGATCTCCTGGGTTGGAAGGGACCCACGATGATCATCAAGCCCAACTCCTGACTCCACACAGGGCAAGCTAGAAGTTAAACCCTGTCTCTAAGAGCATTCTCCAAATGCTTCTTGAACACCAACAGGTTTGGGGGCCGTGACCTCATCCCTGGGGAGCTCATTCCGGTGCTTGACCACCCTCTCCATGAAGAACTCTTTCCTAATGGCCCATCTGAACTTCCCTTGATGCAGCTTTAAGCTGTTCCCTGGCTTCCTACTACCCAAGAATCCACAACACCCCCTGTCTCCCCCCCCCCCCCATCTCGAGGAAGTTGTAGACAGCAACGAGGTCACCCCTCAGTCTCTTCTCCAGGTTGACCGACCCCGGTATCCTC